AGAGAGAGAGAGAGGAGAGAGAGAGAGGGAAGGGGGAGGGAGAGAGAAAGAGACACAGAGAGACACCCATAGCAAGAGAGAGATACACAAGTAATAGGACCTCAATCAAGTCGTATTATTCATCCACATCATTCAGTTGAGAATCCTGGCTGATCAAACAGCTTGCACCAACCACTATCAAGGAGGTACTTGATTCTCAGAATGCTTTGTTCGTTTCCTTTAGTTCTTTGGAATGTTTTCCCCTTGATCTTCTTACATCCTCCCCCCCCCCCTTTCTGGGCAGTGCTACTGACTGACGTTGTCATTACGTCATTCCTAAATGGGGTGATATTAACATGTTCTTATGCACAGTAGAATTGTTAATAATTGGGCTGATTTATCAATGTCACGCTCATACAGTGCCGGAACAACATAGGGGGAACTGCAGCTTTTTCTTTCCTCATCCTTACTATCGTCATTTATCCTCTACTTCTTCTGTATGTTTGTCACTCTCTTGTGAACTGCTATTTCTGGGGTGCCTTGATAGTCGAAGCAGACTTTGTGCTGTTGAAACTAGAGAGGGGAGCAGAGTAAGCCTGATTCCCTGTATGGACTTCTGTGTTGACATCCACCCTTTGTCGCTCATATGACCGTATGCAGTTGCGAGCGCCGTAAAACCTTATTAAAACTAAAAATCTTCTTATACACTAGCGTTTAGGAATGATGGCATCGTTTGCAAAAGACACAATTTTGGTTTTTCTTTTCTTTTTAAAAAAATCAAGAATCTTGGTCTTTTTGCTGAGACGTTGTTGTATCGTTCTCCGCCCTGATTGGTCTTAACTAGCAAGTTTCAAAACCAGTGTCCTAAACTATAGAAGAAATTGTATTGATAGCAGATAACAATCTTATTTACTTACTCTCTCCTTATACCGTCAGGTACATAAGGTAGAGAGCAGTCCACGCCACGTATGACAAAAAGGCCAACGTTTTTAGAAAAATGGCGAGACATTTCACAGAAGCACGCAATAGTCGTGGGTTCGATTCTCGTGTTGAAAGGTTTTAAGAATCCTTGCTTTTTTTGTTAGAATACATCGTCTCATCCAGGCCAGGATTTCGCTACTATAATAATATGGTGCGGAAATAGCACTCCTCATAAATGATCTTAATTCTGTCCAAAGATGCGTGAAGCATTTACAATCACTTCATAACAGACTAACGATTGATCTTACAAGACAATAACAAAGTCTATACGAGGTGTGTGAAAAAGTCGCAAGATTATTATGCCAATAAGTAGAAAACAACAGGGATAAAAACAAATAGCGCGATCGGGCAATGTAAATTACTTTTGTATTTTTAGTCATGTCTTCACCTTGATGTGGGATCAGTTTATTTGAGTTTCTCATGTACATGTGCCTGTTTACTATGATTTTTTATTTAAATTGAGCATGGGGCACTAAACGACACTAAACGTAGACTGAACAGTGAAAAAAAATGAAATAGGTAGTCAGTAATGTTTCACATGGTAGTCGTATGTCTACTGTTTCCACTTAAAGTTCGCCGTCGTCTGTGCTGTAACGGTTAAGCGCTTAGCTGCAGCACGCTGAAGATCTGAGTTCGATTCTTGTATTGGGAGAACTTTTAGTGAGTATCACCGTCTTTCTGCAAAGAGAGGGAGATCGGTTGAGCGCTCAAACAAAGGAGGACATGTGTTACTACAGTAAAAGGGATCCGCGCCACCAAAATATGTGTAGTAGGCCGTAGGTATATAAAAGGGAAACACACACACAGGCAGATAGACAGACACACACATAAACAAACATACATTAAACACATACACATACGCACACAAAATTACAGACTTATACACACCCACAGGCCAACACAATCAGTCAAGAACACACACTTATACATTCATAGAAAGAGAGAGAGAGAGAGAGAGAGAGAGAGAGAGAAAGAGAGAGAGAGAGAGAAAGAGAGAGAGAGAGAGAGAGATACAATAAATTGAATTGTTGTATTCACAAGGATTTGGGAACTTTATCTGGTTTTGATAGACATCTATGTAGTAGCATCATCATATTCTTCAACAAACAGGTAGACGTTATTGTTGTTATTTGTAAACATTTTATCTTTAAAATTCGCAACATAAGAATAAAAATGGTGTTACAGAAGCTTATTACAACTTTGCATAGGAAAGGTAGGTAAAAGATCA